GTTCTGGACATCCATTCATTGTTGCACTCACAATGTTTTAAGGTTAGGGAGCTCTGGACATCCATTCATTGTTGCACTCACAATGTTTTAAGGTTTGGGAGCTCTGGTGGCACAGCCCATAGGAAGTGGCCCAGCTAAACCAGAAGCAGAGGCAGTCTGAATTCCCCAGAGACACCCTGGGAGAAAGACAGGCAATCTCCTCCCAGGCAAATTACAGTCCTGCAAAGTCGGTAGAGAATCAGCTCTTCGTCAACTGCAACTTCCTTACAAAGAGTCCACAAGTGAGTTCTAACTGCGGGGCCTGAAGAGGCAGCCACAGTGTACACCCACCTACTGTCCTGCCAGAGAAAGGCCTGGCAATCAGCTTCATTATGACCACAGCCAAGAAAGCAGTTCTCTGCCACGCTCGGGGTTCCCACGAGTCAGAGTCGACTCAATGGCTACAGGTTTTGTTTGGGGTTCTAACTGTATCACATCATTTAAGTCGTTTACTCCTCACTCCTTGTGATATTAAGAGAATTACTATCCTCTCCAATTTACAGATAAAGAAATAGGAACATTAAGTAACTTGCTGAAATTCACACAATGAGGAAGTGAATTCTGACTCAAGTCCATCTGGCCCGGGAGTTTGTGTTCTAACTATTATCCCATTAGACTCCACTTCAGGGGCTTCGGCTCTGGAGCCAGACTGCGTGAGTTTAATTCCAGTTTGGATACTGAATACATATCAAACCTTGGGCACATTATTTAGGCTTTCTGGCCCTTGGTTTTCCCATCTATAAAGTGGGGTCAATCATGATCTCAGAAGACTATGGGCAACTAACTCCCTTCAATGTGCCAATCAGTGCAGGGAAAGGGCTTGGAACAGAAGGCACTCAATAAGCATTAACTGTCGAAGTTCCCAAGGAGATCAGGTGGTGGTGTGGCACATTACGTCCCGGGCTGCTAACTAGAAGGCCAGTAGTTCAAATCCATCAGCTGCTCCTCAGAAACAAGACAGCGGGCCCCCATGAGTTGAAATCACTCAATGGCACTGGGTTTGGTTTCCATTTATTAGCATTCCTGGGTGTTGCAAATGGCTAGCACACTCAGTTGCTCACCAAAAGGCTGAAGCTTCAAGTCCACCCATTGGCACTCTGAAACAAAGGCCAGGAGAGGTATACCCAAAACACTCAGCCCCTAACAACGTACAGAGCACAGTTCATCCCAACATACACGGTATCACCAGGACTCAGATGGCTGGCAGCCATATTTTGTACTCAAATCTCATCACTTCTGGGAAACTTCTCTTTTCTATCAACCAGAAGAATTAATGGCTCTGACACCATCATTATAACTTTGGTTCTTCCCTCTACTCCAGCAAAGAGCACAAAACACTCTTGTAATCGCCCAAGTATCTTTTTAACAGTTAAAATCATGGCACGCATGGTACATGGGAAGGACTCTGACACTAAGTAGAAATAAACCGTCTGTGTTTAGAATAGGAACCGATCCTTAGATATCTTCCAGACTGACTCTGTCCAAAAGAAACATCATTAAAGCCAGGAATGAAAGCTACACCTGCAATTTCAAATTGTGTCTCAGCTACCACCACTTTGAAAGAAGAAAGAAGCGGGGGAGATTAATAATATCTTTTCTTTAGCCCAATATAGCGAGGCCCCTCCTGGATCACATCCGAGGTGCCTGTGTCCTTTTTAAAGCTAGATTAAAGATCTGGCTGCCTCTGGACTTTTGTGGGTCATTCGGCTGGATTAGAGCATGGAGGGGGTCAGGCGCCTGCTGACCTGTCCCTGTGTGACGGGGATGAGAGCGAGCAAGCTACACAGAGCCGTAATCAGGGTTTCAGCATTCGCACAACCCGATCCCCATCGACATCTGCATTTGCAAGGCCTGCTGCATATTATAAAGTGACGCTCGATTTGAGGGGAGCTGCGGTGATATATGCTGACAGCATCAGTCAAGCCAATTCAATAAAACTGGTGATTAGTTTAAAAAAAAATCAAAAGGATGGCTTCTGAGTGAATCCAGGAGGTACCAGGCGTCACAGTCCGGTCATATGATCATCACTGCTGTCACCCAGGTCTACTGAATGGCCACACCCCACCCTCTCCCTAGCAATACACCCTCAATCTCCTCTCAGGATATTGTGAAATGCCTCGGAAAGCCAGCTCTCTTCAATTCCCTGTAGGGCCCAGCTCCATGGGGTTTTCAGTCATTAATTCTGGATGGGGGCTGAGTGGCAGCACAGGTCTCCTCAGGACAGCCCCACCCCCACCCCCACCCCAGCCCACCCTCCAGTCACTCACTGGAGATCCTCCGCGTTAGGCTGTACGTGGACTTAGAGGTGTCTGAAGAGGAGCGTCTCCCATCTGAGGAGCTTGTCTGTGGGGTCATCGGGACGTCGCTGGCCGTGTGGACAGAGTCGCCATCCTTGTCGCTGCTCCGGCTGGCCATCCTGGGGGTAGGGGGAAAATGTCAGGGGCTGTCAGCAGGCAGACAACAGCCAGGAATCCCTAGGGCTGGCAAGAGTATCCTCCGGGGACTGGAGACAAAACCACCCTCAGACTCTTTCTTCTGCAACTTGGAACAAGGCACATTTGAGACGGTGGGAAACTAACTCCCCATGATATCGTTGTGCACAAAACGTGAAAGAAAGTGGTTAAAATGACGTGAAAGGATGTAGAGTATCCTCAACCTAGAAAATGTCAAGAACTCGAGGTTTCTTGGCTTGTTGTCTCTACGACCTTGTGCTGTTAACCTAAAGGTGGCATCTCTTTGGAAGTTCAAGTTCACCAACTGCTCTGCAGGGGAAAGATGGGTAATCTCCTCTCAAGCCATTTGTTACTGCTGTTGTTGTGTACTGTAGAGTTGGAACCAACTCATAGCTGAGCCTCTGACAGGTTTTCAGAAGCAGTTAATCACAAGGGAGGAGACTGCCCACCCATTTACAGCCTCTGAAAACCTGCCTGAGGGTCTGCTACAGGCCGGTTCTGCTGAAAGGCCATCAGGTGAGTCTGAAAGCAGAGTTTGGCAGGAGACGCTGTGTGAACTGACTCAGGCTCCTGCCACATGGTTGGCACCATGTTGGCTAATCCAGGACTGGTCTCTGGTCTTCATTCTTTAGACCTGCGGAGCCCGCGCACCATCCACTCAAAGCCACGGTAGATTCTGCTGTTTCAACAGTCACTGTGTCTATAATTTCACATTGTTTAAAAATACCCTGGGACGATATCGCTCAAGGGTTCTTGGAGAGGCAGAACCACAGCTACAAAAAAGAACCTGAAATCTCAATGATTTATGTTCAGTGTGAGGAAGCAGCTATGAATTAGCTGTAGCCACTATTCAACGTGCTCCCAAAATGCCATTCTTGGGGGTTTAGGGATGCGGAAAGCTTGGGGAGAGGGGCAACACAAGATAGTAATTAAGAACACAGGCATTCCACTGCTTGGAATATGTTGTTGTTGTTGTTGTTGTTGTTGTTGTTACTATTGTTATGTGCTATCAAGTCACCTGCGACTCATTGCAACCCTATGTACAACAGACCAAACCCTGCTCTATTCTGTGCCAATCTCATTGCCTCTGACACACCTACCTCCATTACCTCAGTCACTGAATCAATCCATCTCATCGAAGGTCTTCCTCTCCTATATTGTCCCTCAAACATCCAAGCATGACGTTCCTCTCCAAGGACTGATCCCTCCTTAGCAACATGTCCAAAGTATGTCAGACAAAGCTCCAGAATCCTTGCCTCCAAGGAACAGGCTGGTTAACCCTCTCCAGGATGACCCTGTTCGTTCTCTTAGCAGTCTGTGGTACATTCCATACTCTTCTCCAACACCACAGCTCAAAGGCATCAACTCTCCTTCTATCATCACTAGTCACTGTCCTGCTCTCTGATGCAGAGTAAGTGATTGCAAAGACCATGGCCTGTATCATGTGCACCTTAGTCTCCACACTGGCATCACTGCTCTTCAGTACTCTGGAGAGTTCTCTGACAGCAGACTTTCCCAATGCAATAATATGTCTATCATCGAGGAAGAATGCAAAAGATCATTACAAAGACAGAGGAGGAAGAAAAGACCAAAATGGATGTCAGAGGAGACTATGATTATTGCACTAGAGTACCAAGAAGCCAAAACAAAGGGAAGAAATCAAGATATTAAGGAGCTGAACAGAAGATTTCAAAGGGCAATGCAGGAAGACAAAATATAATGAAACGTGAAAAGAACTGGGGTCAGAAAATCAAAGGGGCTGAACTCACGTGGCATTCCTTAAGCTCAAGGACCTGCAGAACAAATTCAAGCCTCGAGTTGCAATACTTAGGGATGCTTTGGGCAAAATATTAAATAATCCAGGAAGTATTAAAAGAAGATGGAAAGAGTATACAGAGTCATTGTACCAAAAGGAACTGGGTGACACAGAAGAATTTCATGAAACAACATGTGAGCAAGGGCTTATGGTGATGAAGGAAGACGTTCAAGCAGCTCTGAAAGAATTGGCAAAAAACAAGTCCCCAGGAATTGATGGTATACCAATTGATATATTTCAACAAATAGACGCTGCCCTGGATGTGCTCACCAAGTTGTGCCAAGAAATCTGGAGGACAACCACCTGGCCAACTAACTGGAAGAGATCTATATTTGTTTCCATTCCAAAAAAGGGTGATCTGACAGAGTGTGGAAATTATCAAACAGTATTATTAATATCAAATGCAAGCAAGATTCTGCTGAAGATTATCCAAAAACTACTAGAACAACACATAAACAGAGAACTGCTTGGAACAGACCCCAAGAAAATGAGAACTGAGGCACAGAGACTTGTACACCAATGTTCATCGCAGCATTATTCACCATCACAAGAACATGCAAACAGCTCAAATGTTCAACCACAATAGAGTGGATTGAGAAATTAATGGTACATTCACATGATGGAACAGTACACAGCATGTATGAACAATGATTTTGTCAATCACTACCTAACTTGAAAGGGACTGGAGAATACATGCTAAGTGAACTAACCCAGTCCCGTAAGGACAAATACTGTATAAGACCATTATTGTAGAAATACATAACTAGTAAAATGGGTGTGAGGATCTAAGGAGGGAGTAATGAAGGGGAGAGATGGGCCAAGAGGAGTAATCATGGGGTTGCAAGGTTTGATGGGAGGAGGGTGGATGGGTTGAGGAGGTGGGAGGGATCTTGTGAGGGGCACTGTATGCGAACTTTGTAGGTAAAATAAAAACAAAATTTAAAGTAAATAATTTTTTTAAAAAGAACACAGGCCCCTGGAGGACATTATGCTGAGTGAAATATCTCAGTCACAAAAAGACAGATATTGCATGGTGCTACTGTTGTAGAATGGGACTGATATCAATGTTGGAGTAAGACTGGTAAAACTGGATAGATTATGTATACTGCATTGAAACAGGTGAGGGAGGGAACTGTTTAAAAGTGATATATGACAGGGTTTATGGTTATCACAAGAGTCCAGAATGAAGGCTGCATAGTGGAGTGTACTTAGGATGAGGGGATTGTATACCAATGAAGGAACTTTTCTTTTACTTTTCAAAGAGTGAACTGGGGGGGAGGGGTGGGCAGGGAAAAAAATGCAACAATGAATGAATGGAAATCCAAAATCTCTGTAAATGTTCATTAAAATTAATAATTGTTGTCGTTGTTGTTATGTGCCGTCGAGTCGTTTGCAACTCATAGCGACCCTATGCACAACAGCCCTAAACCCTACTCTAACCTGCGCCAACCGCACTGTCTCTGACACACCCATCCCGATTACCCCAGTGACCGAATCAATCCATCTCATAGAGGGTCTTCCCCTCCTGCGCTGTCCCTCCACCCTCCCAAGCATGATGTCCCTCTCCAAGGACCCGTCCCTCCTGGCAACATGTCCAAAGTATGTCAGACGAAGCCCCCGAATCCTTGCCTCCAAGGAGTAGCTTGGTTTAATCCTCTCCAAGATGAATCTGTTTGTTTTCCTGGCAGTCCATGATACATTCAGTACTCTTCTCCAGCACCACAGCTCAAAAGCATCAACTCTAGTTTTTTGTAAAAAAAAGAACACAGGCACCCCTGGAAGGTACAAAGGGCTGAAATACTTGACTACTAGCCAAAAAGTCAGTGGTTCAAACCCGTTCAGAAGACCTCAACGACAAACCTGGCTTTGTCAAAATATAATAATATGTATGGTGAAGAAATTGAGATTGTTCACAGCTTCAGTTTGTTCGGCTCCACGGTCAACACTCTTGGCACCAGCAGCCAGGAAATCAAAAAACATATTGCGAAGGCAAAGTCTGCTGTTAGGGACCTCTCTAAAGTACTCAAGAGCAATAGTGTCTCTCTTGAGACTGAGGTGCGCCTGATACAGGCCATGGTCTTTGCAATCACTTATTATGCATCAGAGAGTTGGACAATGACTAGGGAGGATAGAAAGGAGAATTAATGCCTTTGAGCTGTGGTGCTAGAGAAGAGTATTGAAATGTACCATGGACTGCCAAGAAAACAAACAGATTCATCCCAGAAGCATCCTCCAAGGAGCAGACTGGCTTCACTCTTTCCAGGATGAAATTATTTGTTCTCCTAGCAGTCCATGGTCTATTCAATAATCCAGCACCACAGCTCAAAGGCATCAACTCTCCTTCTATCATCCCTAGTCATTGTCCAGCTTTCTGATGCATAGAAGTAATTGCCTGGATCAGGCACACCTTAGTCTCCAGACTGACATCTTTGCTCTTCAGCACTCTGGAGAGGTCTCTGAGAGCAGACTTTTCCAATGCAATTCGTCTTTTAATTTCTGGGCCGCTGGTACCAAGAGTGTTGATTGTGGAGCCAAGCTAACTGAAGCTGTCAACAATCTCAATCTCTTCACCGTCTCTCATAATGCTGCCAATCAGCCCAGTGGTAGAAGTGCAAATTCTCAACAGTACTTCCTCAGAGCCCCCCTGCTGTCCCTGTCATCTCCTATTCACAGCACTGCACATAACTCAGCCTCGCTTGGTGCTGGCAGCATATCTTCTGCAGCTGATGCTAGACTCCAAGTGGGCAGCTTTGTTTCATTGACCATGGCTGCCCTTGCAATGCATGATGCCTGATGCATTTTCTCAATAAATAAAATAGGATACTCTTTCCGTGGCTCTCTCATTCTTTCTTGTATTACAATTATCTGAGTGTCCACTCAGTCCCTCCCAAGGATGAGGATGTTGAAGAAAGGCATCATGGTGTGACCCAAGGTTCTGAGTACCTGCGGGATAGGCACTGCACTCCATGCTCCAGATCTCATTTCATCTCCATTATGCTGTCATTTGCTAGCTACTGTACGTCAGTTCTGATTCACAGTGACCCCCATGTGTTAGAGTAGGATGATCCTAAGCTGTGAATCTGTACGGAAGATAACTCCCGGATCTTTTCCCTACTGAGACACTGGTTAGGCTCAAACTGCCAACCT